GCTCCAAGAGAGCTAGCTGTCGTGATATACCTGGGCCCAAACTACAGAACTTTAGTGACCTGCGGCGTGTAGGGGAGTCATGCTGTGGCGTAAAGCATTCCTAGGAATGGTGTTGTCGCGTGATGTGGGTATACAGTACTGGGTAGTACTTCAAAGGCCACCAAAATCGTGTGGGAATGGTTCCCCTTATAAACCATCAAGGGAAACTATTCATAACCCCAAACTGCCACCCAGCTGATGTAGGACTACGGAGCTTGCATAACAACTGTTTTACATGTTTGCGGGCTAAGTGGATGCCAAGATGCCTCCGCTTGTAGGCTGAAACTCTGGTCGGCCATGTTCTGCTCCACCTTCCCGAATTCAGGACTGAAAAAATGGACCCAATCCCTCTGGGACTCTGGGACTCTGGGAGGCTCAGCGCAGAACGCATTGAAATCCTACGAGCCCTGGCCTCCTGTCCGCCTTCAGGCCCAGCTTTTTGCGAAGCGTCCGGGATGGCCACTTCCTCCAACCTGGCAAGACTGCCGTGAAATAGCACAGGCAACCTATCATCCCAATGCTGGAGCATCAAACGGATACGAACATGGAAAATGAAATCCAGAGACGCCATATTTTCCAGGCACCTGGTAATTCCCGCAAATAGGCAAACCCGAACATAAATCCAATATATACTGTGATCCTTTTTTGCGGAGGCCTCCAAAAAAAGCATCCCCAACTTTGGGAAACCCTAAACCCTAAATCTGTATATCCCTAGATACCCTTCTATAACCCCTATAAAACCCCTTTAGTGGGACCCCCCAATTTGGGAAAACCCCAACCTCTCATCCTTCGGTTTCGGCAGCGGCTCGGCCAAGATCTCAGCCTCAGCTGACAGAGATCCGGAAACCCCAAACCGCAAGTAGCATAGTAGCTTCCGCTTCCTTTTCCATTGGTACTGTTTCATCCCCACATTCCCATGTATAACCCTAAATGCCCCTTCAAACGCTCCCTGTGCTTTTCTCATGTTTTGCCCAACGGAAAGGCTGCGGCAGAATCTGGGCCGGTCTGGTGCGCAGGGGACGTCACCACCTGCGAAAGCATTTAAGGTAGTTTCCCAAAACGGGGTACCGGAATGTACACCAAAAACAAACCATCATCCCTGCTGTAGGGACCCCCAGAAAGGGACACCCAATTTTGGGAAGCATTCATTTCTGAATTCAAAAAAATGAGCCGCGTCAGCACAGGCCTCCATAGCAGCGGAGACAACCTTCGCATGAGCCTCCTGTTCGAATCTTGCAAGGACTCGAATCCACACTTCGGAGGCAGTCTCTCTGTAGAGGCGTTACACCTCAACGATTCTCCTGTGGCAAGGGATGAGCCACAAGCCTGCTCCGTCTCAAGGACAGTTCCACCAGAACAGAGCCAAAACACTCTATGAAGCAAACCCTGAATTCCTTCAACCCGTAACCAAAACCTTCAACCTCAGACCCCTAA